AAAAATTAGTGGTCTGTCTGTCCTGCAAAGGACATTATAGGTCCCGGGAGGGCTAGGCAGGGGCTCTGAAAGTGGTTGTCTCGACTGAGGTTTCTGCTCCCTGTCTTGGTGAGCTGCACAATGAGCTGGCTGGCCAAATGTCAGTGATGCTCTGTGTGTATCATTTCCAAAGCAGTTTCTGATCTATCACGATGAAGGTTTCTGGAGAAATGCTAAATAGTATTATTAGTGTAAAATAAACCTACTTCAATATTTCTGACCCTAAAGTGGATCCAGATGATTTCTTACGGCTGCTGGATGTGCTTTGGTTTTTCCATGGCTCAGTGTGGCTGTCTGCATTTGTTCAAGTGAGATAGGATGTGACAGAGAGCTTGTGACAGCATGCTCTTGTCAAGTCAGTAAACCTTTATATTTATATATGCGCACACTCAAATATATATTTATATAAAAAAGGAAAAAATTACTCTCTTAGACTAAGACACTATTTCTGAGTCTGACACTTGACATGTGTGCCAAGAAGTTGGAATAAACTCAGTAAGTTTATCAGTTTTTATGATCACAGCAGTCAGTTCAGCTGTGTAGGGGAGAAATGGGATTTGGCTGAATAACTCAAAATAGTCTCCCAAGGAAGTGAACGTTATGTCTCTGTCTTTATAGCTCTGATATGAAAAGAGTATTAAACACCCCTTGATACCAGCTACAGGTTGCATTTTCCAGCCTGTGGTTGAGCTTTGCAAGAGGTAACTTTTCAACTCTGTTTCAAGTGTAAAACAATTTTCCTCTGGTTTTAAGGATTATTAACATTTTCACGCTTTCTCTACTACAGAGAAGAGCAAGTCTTCCCCACTGCTTAAGGGTTACGTTTAATATGGGTTGGGGTTTTACCAGCACTGGTGCCAGGGTGAGATCAAAGTAGCGGGAGCAGCTGGGTGGTCCTTCCTTCTGAGCATGCCAGTGGGAAATGTTTCCAAGCCAGTATTTCAGTGATTTTTTTTAGATCCTGTTCGTGGAGATGATGCTGCAGAGTCTAAGGGGTCTCCCAGCTGTGGCAGGGAGACTTGACATGACCTTGCAAAGACTGGAAAATGTAATAAGTGTGGATAGCTGTTCTGCTGGTAAAATGTTTTGGTTTGGTAGCTGATACAAACAGATGTATGATCAGTTAGTAAAATCTCTTGCATACTTAAAATCAGTGATAATAGGATTTATTATGTGTTGTAAGTAGGTGGCAGCTGGACTGTCTACCCAAGGTATCTGAGTTGGTGTATGAGATCCAAGGCTTTCACCAAAACCTATCCTATCCCCTGCAAACCCAAGTGAGAAACAGAGAGTGTAATTTTTCAATAAATTTGGATCAATCAAAGCTGAATTAGGGATGTTTTTTGTCCATGTGCCTTCTCCATCCAAGCTGAAGTTTGTGTTCAAGCTAAAAGTGACAGCTGGGAGGTTGCAGCTGATTCCCCACATCTGTGCTAAGAGCTGCCGCATATGTTCATCAGCTCTGATCCTGCCCTGCCTGAGACACTGTTGGTGTATTGATTGCTAAAATCTTTGTGAGTGCTCTACAGGGACCAAATCTAAAAAAAAAAAAAGGCYTGTCTGCATTGCACACATTAAACMCCTTGAGAAGGGGGATTTGGGGTCCTGTCTATCTTTTTCCAGTTTTCTGCTGTCCCGAGACTGTATAATTACATTTTATTGAGTCCATTGCACTATTCCCTTCCGGCATGGAATGCTCCTGGATTGATGGAAAGCAATTTAAAATCTGAAGGTTCTCACTCCTTTGATACAACCTTCCATGTTCTTTGTGCAGCGTTGAGAGCTTGCTGTGCTTCCCTGTTGTTTTTTGGCTTCTTACTTAAACAGGAAAGAAATGGCCAAGGAGAAGGMAGCCATCTAAGTAGGTGGCATGTACTTAGCAGAAATTACAGGTGGCTCCGGCTCTTCAGCTTTCATCCCTATCTTGGGAGGGCAATACAATAAAATGACTGCAATTTCGTAGTATATTATTTTCCTCTCTTGTCTCCTAGCTTGTGGTATTAGTTTAGTGTTATATCAGTGCTGGTTTTCCTGGTCTTTGGTTTGAAGCAAACTGTTGAGATAATGATGCCACTTAACTGCRTCACTGGTCCCAGCAGGACTTAGCCTGTCCGGAAATACCTGCCATGATCTGGTGTATGCAGTGTCTTGCTGCCATGCAAAGGTAATTGCTCACTGACCCAGAGAATACTGGTTTTTTTTTTCATGGAAACTTACTGTGTTCTTTGAACTGCTTAGAAGTACTCAAGAAGACATAAACCCATGAGTTACTACAGGCTGCATGCCTGGAACATGCAGGCCATCTCAGCATATGGAGTAAATCAGCCCAGCTCTGCTGACTTCAGTGCAGCTGCATCTATTACCACTCACTGCAACCCTGAACCAGACTAGAGGAATGGTTGTGTATGAAGAGTGGATAGGAAAAATMCCCTCCCTTTTTTCTTATAGCTTTACACTTTATGAACAGAATAAATTTGCCACAAGTGGAGGTGAAATAGTAAATTAATTTTGCCTCTCTAGAATTACTTTATTTGGRCTTATATGCTAAGTTCCCTCTTATTCCCCTTACTTCCTAAATCAAGTAGTTGATATGCATGCACTTGGTTGCTGGCACTAAAATATACATCAGTAATTAGTTCAGAGATTGATGTTTCAAAAAGCCACATGTAGATGCACCTGCACAGAAACAAGTCAGGCAGACTTGACTCTCTGTAAAGGCAGGGTGGGCAGCCCCCACGTAAGCCACAACTATGGGAAGAGGAGCTGCTTTCTTGTTTCCATGTGCCAGGAGAAGCAGTGCTATCAGGCTTATGTGTGATGGATCAGAGTGCAGTGGTATTGCTGCAAGCAAAAGTCATGAATTTTAATCAACTTTACTGGCTGCCTTGAAATTTGAGTTGAAAGATAAATGTGAAAAACAGGCAGCCCATATTGTTTCTGGAACAGAACTGCCCCTTTTCAGTTGATTAAAAGAATATTTCTTTTAACTTGGTAATCAAAAATACTTCCATCTTAGTTCAGGATTTTTTTTTTAGGTTAATCCTTCAGGTCCTGCCAGCATCATGTGAGTCCTGGAGCGAAGTGTCACCTTGTGGCCACCCAGACAGTTGACCTTTCCTGCACAGACTCCTCAACCACTGGGGCTTGTTGGCTGTCTGCTTTCAGCCATTTGGAAAAAGATAGGTTTAGGGCTTTATTTAAATATTTTTTTATGTCTGGGGAAGGGGGAGGAGAAAAAGGATTGCCTGGTGAAAACTGAAAGGACTGTCCAGGGAGTTGGAGTTCGGTTTGTATTCACTGGGAACTCTGTCACAGCCAGTATACTTGTCCTTCCTGTCTGTTGCTCCAGGGCTGCTTTTAAGGTTATTTAGTTGTGGTATTCATTTGAACATCAGTTTTCCTAATTAAATATAAGTGATTTGAATGCCAATGTTGTCTGTGGGGGACACTGAAGCTTTGGGAAGAAGTGGAGTGAAAATATCAGCTCTTGTCCCTGGACAGAAACACACACTTATTATGTTACTTGCGCCTCTGCCAGGCTGGTCTGGATTACTTTGAGTAGTTGAGAGTGCTTTCCTCACTCCTTTGCTTCAGGGGTTATCACAGCTTTTCCTGTTTTGCCATTGAGTCACCTCTGTGCAGGATTGAGTTTGAAGGGTTTTATTTAAGGCCAAACAACTTTTAAGAAAGGGAAAGGGAAAATTAGCCTACAAGCAGAAGGGAGAGAAAAAACTTGGTGGCAGACTCCTGAGTGGTTCCTCCTTTCTCAAGCACATGTCCTGTGCTGTTTTCTCTTAGGATCTTCTGTGGTTCAACTCCACACCTAGTTTCTCATCTCCTCCAAAAGCTGTAGGTTCAGCAACTGCTCTGTATTAGTGAAGAGTTCATTGCAGCTGCAGCAGAGGTTTGTTTGATGCTCTGGGAAATTCCTGCTCCCTTTACTAGTGAGAAATGCAATATAGTTTTGGAGCCTAAATTRCTGTGAAAGGGCACATAAAAACCTGCTACATACAAATTCCAGCTTGTTTGTACTCTTAGTTGGTTACACCCTTGGCTCAGAACTCAAATATTTCAAGAATTTGGGTTGAGGTATATCCTTTCCTGAAAGAGACATGAAGTTAGATTCCCCTTTTGCATCAATGGGTGCAATTTGAGTAAGGTCACAGAGGGTTTGTTTGAAGCAGAAATGTTAATTCCTCCAAGGCATCTCCAGAGGCTTTGGGAGGAGAGGTGATGCTTTGCTCTGGTAGGAGAACCTGGAGGCTGCTCCTTGCACTGCTGAGATGACTGGCCCCTGKTTTTGATTGGAATATGCTTGATATGAAGAAAACCCACCTGATTTCTCTGTCCCTTTAAAGCAGCTGGGATGCCTTGTAGTGCTGTGCTTTGCTGTACTGGGGACATTGGTGCTGTGCTTGTTTACCCTAGTGGCTGATGTTTTGTTTTCCCCGCGGCCTTCAAAGCATGTACGTACACTGAAGCAGAAGATTAGTTTCACTAAGGAGGCTCATTTCAGATGCAGATGCTCTATGGGCTGCTGCACAAATGAAGCCTGCCTGATTTTCTATTTGTTTTTTAGAAAATATTTMTTTATTTTAATACTCTGCTGGAAACACTCTCCACTTGGTTTYGCTTACTCCACCTTTCCATGTTGCTGCACTGCAGGTATAGAGGTTAGGGTCTTGGGAATGGGTGGCATTTACCAGCTGCCATGTTATGCTGTGGTGGGATCAGCCTGGGTGGCTGGTAGGGTGTCATTGATTCGTGGTATTTTCTTCCAATACTGAGGAAAGAGAGTATTTGCCAATGCCTCGCGTTATCCTAACATGTCCATACATCAGGTAATCAGCTGGCTGAGATCTGCACGAACATCACGGGGCGCAGCGCGTTGGGGTGCTGGTGTGGGATGTGGGCACTGCAGGTCAGTGGTCAGTGATCCTGACGTGTCCCTTGCCTTGCAGTTACCTGGCCGAGCAGTGCTGGAATGGCGGCTTYGTCTACCTGATCATGTTGCGCCGCATCAAGCGCAAAGCCCCTCTGCCTCCCTCCAACGGCAACAACAGCAACAGCTGCGACCCCAAAGCCAAGCCCAGCCCCGAGCCCGCAGACAGAGCTGCTCAGAATGGGAAAAGGACCAGGAAGTTTGGGGTCATCACTAGGACACCGGGAAGCAAAGATAGCAAGGAGAAGCTGGGCTCAGAGCAYGGGAATGGGCACTGCACCCCAATGGAGGTGGAGGTTGCTCAGCCGGAGACCTCTGAAGCAGAAAGCAACGGGGAAGAACAGCACCAGGGCACCGGGGGACCATACCGGAGCCGGCTGTCAGATGGTGGCATGCCAGACATTGGGGACCAGGCTGCCCAGGTATGTTTGCTTTGGTTCTTCTAGAGAAGGAAGCAGCAGGTATGCAAGCAAATTAAGTTGATTTTTCAAGCAATTCTCTGGTTTCAGTGCTTTGGCCTTGGGTTAAGCCTGCAGGTGACAAGACAAGCTGTGGGATGGGTTCTGAAACTGGGAAGGGTGGGAGGATTGGAGAGTTAAATAATAATTGTTGGAAACCTCTGTCATATTCCATCTCTGATGGAGGGGAAGGCCCTTCTAGCTCTTGACCTGTCAGGCTTGGCTTCAGGATTTTTTTGTTGAGACAACTGATGACCTTACAACACTGGAGCAGGAGGGGTCAGTAGAAGATGGTAATTTTGTCATTTGGGGCTTTTTGTTTAGCTCTGCTTGGACTTCATGTCACCTTACAGCTCATGTTAACATTGAGATTGAAGCTTCCCTTTTTAATGGACCAAACCACTTTGCATGTATTTGTGTTACAAAACTTGTTTGGCTGGTGTCTGGGAACCACATGGAAGTAATTGTGGATTTTGCTCAGAGCTGATGAGATGGACAATTTGTTAATGTTTGGGACGACAGTGGGATTGGGGYTTTCATTGCTTCTCTCTTCATCCCGGTGGAGATCTTGGGGTTTGTTGCCTGTCTAGAATTGCAGCATTGCTGGTTGGAGGAAAATAACCCAAGCCTTGATCAGGTTTCAGTATGCATCTATCACCAGAAGCACTGTCTGCCAATCTTTCCAGAGGCACTGATAGTATAAACAGATGAAGGCTGCTTTGTTGGGCTTGGGGCTGGCTGCAGCAGCTGGTTTTGGTTTTAAGAACTTCAAAGCTGTTAGCAAAGCACTATGAGTGGACGTCTCATCACTAAATTCTGTTGAGAAAAGCATGGGTTTAAACGTGCCCTCTGAATAGTGCTCCTYAGCACTACGCCCGGGTAGTGGTGATTGTGGTTGTGAAGTTATAGTAATTTAATTTAAAATACATTGTAGGAGCTAAAAGCAATTTTAAAAAGCCTCTGGTTTTTAAAGAAGTATAATTGCGCAAACTTGTTCTTTGCATCAGTGAGACACACTGGATTTTCTGGTGCAGCAGAAAGGGTAGGGTGTTTGTGTGCTGTTCTTGCAAGCCTCATAATTGTAGTCATTCTGAAAGAAAGCATTAAAAGCTTAAAAATAAATAAATGAACAATTTGGTATTTTGAAAGCTCTGGTCCATATAAAAACTTCTTGAATCTGTTCTGAAGATGTCTAATTAAACACATATTATAGATGAAGTTGATTGGACTGTTTTTTAAGTGGAAAGCCAAATATATATATATGTAAAAAAAAAGAAACTCTTGATCCAGAGCCATCTCATGCTAGTGCTACCTTGATATTTTGAATAATTTKGGTCAGAGGAGTAAATTGTTAAATTCAGAACATGTATGTATCAGTGTGAGTAATAAATACATTTTTAATGCAAAGCACATACAAGATGGCTTTGTAAAACGTAAACACATAACTGAGGCACTGGAAAAATTCAAGAGCTATAATCTGTTCAGTTGTGGTGTAGTGTCATTTAGTAAAATTGCTTCTCTTTTTTTTTTTTTTTTAATTTTTTTTTATTTTTACCCCCCCATAATATTTTGCTTAGAAATATGACCTCTGTCTATTTCAGTACTAATTATATTTTCCAGACATTTGAATGAGGAGAAATGTGAATAACTGGAGCCTGAATACCATGCCTAGCTCATCCTTTGCCTTTTAAAGACCAGGGGGCYGTATAGAAGCCCATCACTTCAAGCATCTGTGGGATAGCTGCTATCAAGTAATGAGCAGCTTAACTTAGTTTTTTAATAAGTACTGAATAGGGAGGGTGAATAAAATTTTCAGAATTATTTGGGTTCTGTTTAAAGAAAAAAAAAAAAAAATGAAGGAAAAAGGCAAGGAATAAACGCACTTGGGAGCCTCAGATCTCGCTTCCAGCTCCATTTTCAAAGTGTGACCTGGCACTTAGGTATGTGAGATCCAGTCATGTCAGGAGCCTTTTGAAAACAGCATCCAGGATGTCCTGTCAGAAGCTGCAGCCTCCTTCTAGGCATCAAAGTGTGAGCCAAACCTCCTGTAGCTGCAAGGATGAGTTATCTCCTCCCAAGCAGGGACAGGGTGCACTGGCAGGGCACCCTCACTGTGGGGAAAGCTCCATCCCCACTGTCCGCCCCATGCTCGCCATCTCCTCCACATGTTGACTAATGGAATATCCAGGTCTGTCAGCCCTGCGCCCTTGGGGAGCACTATATTTGCTTTTAGGATGAGAGCCAGTCTGTGGATTAGAGGTTGGCTGCAGATGGGAGGAAAGGCTTTGAGAAGCTGCTCAGCAACCAACATGGATGTGGGAGGATGTTGTTGTTCCTCCCCACTGCTCTTTTCCCACCCTAGGAGGCAGACTGGAGCTTTACTGAAACTGAAATATAGAGTCCAGGAAAGTACCCTTTTCTTCCTCTCTGTAGAGTTAGTTTGAGTTATAACCAAAATAGGGGAGAAAAGGTTGGGTTGATCTGTGTATCTTCAGCCACTGCTGTGCTGATCCCAGTGGCCAGCTCATGGCCAGTGCCTAGGGGATGTTGTGCTGACAGTGCTTTTGAGGCATCCACATGTCATTTCGATGCCTTTTGGTTTCAGGGTGCTTCTCCCACAAGCATGGGGTTGTTCTGCCATTTTCTCTCCCATTTCCTCTGTGCATGCTGCTCATAACAGCAATGCTGGATCATGAAATGACAGGCAAGATGAATACTGTTTGTCAAGTGAACCTGCCAGGAGATTCCTGTGTTACTGGTTTGTGTACATGTGGCAGTCCCCTTCTTCAGGCTTCCTTTCATCTTTCAGATCTTGATCTGTCTCTCCTTGCACTTGGCATTGCTATCGCTGTGTATAAACAAATCTGCTAGGCTGTCTGCTGGTATGTAACCCTTAGTAAATATTGTACCTGTCAATTAGCAGGCAGCATTTAGTGTTTACAGGTGGTTAAGTTATGCTGCAATATTTTTAGGATGAACCAAAATGCCTTTTAAAAATGTGAGGATTCAAAGCAGCAAAGCTGTATCTGCCTGGCAGGAAGATCTCTAAGATCTGGAAACCAGACCTGACCTTGGAGAGGACCCAGGCTGGCAGCAGTGGGAGTCAAGGGCAGTGATTTAAGATTAGGCAGTTTCTGAGCTGGAGTAATGATCCGTCACATCCTGGGAAGATTGGCGAGCTTAAACACAGATATCAAAGTTTACTTCTTCTATTCAGTGGCGTGAGACAGGATGTAGTTTTGCAGCCTGGTAATTATACAGGCACAGATGTAAGAAGAGTATGGGAAGGGGCTGCTGTAGTCCACTACAAAAGGTTAAAGAAAAGGAAATGGTGAGATTTCCTGACAATATACCAGTCCTGTGGTTTCACTGTGTTGACTGGTAGGACAGAATCCCTCAGTTAGTTTTGTTCTCAGTTTCTCTGTCCTGGTGTTTTTGGAAGATCTGTGGACTGCTGCTGTAGCCCCCAAGGAGTGCCCAGAGATGGCCAGATACAGCTGGCGTGGGCAGGGATCAGAAGTAGGACTGAGATCTGCAAAGACAGATTAGGAGTGTGAGGGGTGTGAGTCTCACTGTCAAAGGGGATTAAACTGATCCAGGTCTGGCTGGCATGATGAGAGGCTTTCACTGATGGAGCCAGAGGAAGCTTGGACAAAGATGAGTTGTACTAGAGCAGTCTGGCCACCTTGGTTTCCTCCAGCCCCAGCAGGATGCTCTGAAAGCCCCAGCTGTTAAAAGCAAAAACAAGGCACTCCCATAATGCCCTTGAATTCTCTTGCTTCTTTGTAGGCATCCAAATTATTAAAGGCTTGAAATCCAGATCCAATTTCATCAGTGACCACTGGAAACTGTGTAAAGGACATTGGATAAAAAGAAAATGCTTTAATAGTGAAGGGAGGCAGGTTAGAGGTACAAGGCTGTGAATTTCAGTATTCTCCAGTGGCAGAGGAGAGGGAGGAGCTCAGGGTGTCATGGGTGGTGGTGGCACCGTGGTGTGGCATTGTGGTGGGATGTCTTTCCAGGATGGAAATAGATCGGCATCTGGTGGCCCTGCAAACAGTCTATGATGCTTTTTTTGAAGTCAGTGTATCATTTATTAACAAAAGGAGCAAAAGGGGAAGGCAAGGAATGTTAATGCCCTGCCTTCTAGAGGTTTTTGGGGAAGTTTGGGTTACAGCACTGCTTCAGGATCTTGGCTCCCTGCTGTTAACCCCATTACTCTGGTTGCAGCCACCAGAGCAGTGTGCCTGCCTAGCCAGTTTTGCTCTTACAGCCCAGCTGAGCCCAGYTTGCATGGACCACAGACGTGTGAGCCTGTACACAGGCAAACACAGACCTGTGTATGTAGAGAACCAGCAAGAACAGGTTTTTACACTGCTCCAACTGCATGGTATATTTATCAGCAGCTCTCTTCATTCTTTGGGCCCATTATTGCTTTCTTACTGACATGGCTCATCTTGGGTGGGGATGAATGCTTTTGAATTGCATTTTACTTTGCAGTTAGGGAAGGCTGATAGACTTTCTGTAGCAGTACTTGCCTATTAGTGTTGGTAAATGCCAGTATTACCTTGACTTTTGGCTAGTGGAAAATATTCCTTATCTTGCTAAGCAGAAGAGGAAGACGAATAGCACATTACAGGAATCAAAACATGAGGCTTGAGATAATGTAATGGCTCTAAGCATTTTACTATTTTGTTAAACTTGATGGGAAAAAAAAAATCTCACTCTTTTGCTGTACCAAAATGAAAAACTGGCTGTGAGCAAGGTAGTCCAGTGAAGCTACTGAAGCTAAGTTGCTTTACATCAATTTTTTTTGGCAATCTAAGCAGTAATTACTCTTTCATCAAGGCTTTTATGGGATTCTTATGATGCATGGTTTAGACATAAATAACACTGGTTTTAGGTGTTAATGTAGATACTTTTAGTCATGTAAAGCCTTCCTCACAATCTGATTCAGTTCTTAACATCTTTTTATCTGTTGTTTTCTTCCAACTTTCATTAACATGGATCCTGGGGCTATCTACTGTCTTGAAGTTTTAATGTGCACTGTGATAAGCATGTCTTTCCTCTTTGTTGCCTGTTTTGGGTTGTAAACTCTCTTAGGGACAAGGGCTGTCTTTTAATTGTAGCTGTACAGCTCTGACAAAACTTGGCCTTGTTTTTGCTTGGGGTTTTAGGAAATACTTTGATGTAACTAGCAGTGAAATTACAGTTAATATTTTTTGCTGCCAGTTATATTTCACCTTGCCATAAAACAAAAATCGTCACAATTTTCTGGGGTTAAGTTGCTTGCTGCCAGATTTTTTCAACTGACTTAAGGTTCTGCCTGCCTTTGCTGTGATTTAAGTGATAGCTACAGGTGTGGTGCTGTAGATTTTTATTTTGAGCAGGAGCCTGTCCTTTTATCTTGTTTCTGTACTGACTTTTCCAAGGTGCTTGGATGTAAAGACAGTCTGCTAATAGATATGTTACAATGTGTTGGTTTGACTGTGTCACCTTGAAACGAGGTCCTCAGTTTTGGAAATGAGCTACCCCTGAAGGCAGCGCAGGAATGTTCGAGGTTATGTTGCAGGAGGTCTCAGC